ACAAACAATAAACCTAAAAAAGTTTTAACTACTACAGGAAATAAAAGATGGTCAGGCATCCTGGATCCTGGCCCCAATGCAAAGGCTTCACATGTGTAAACTTTTGAACATGATAATAATGTAATCCGTCCGCTCCCTGCTTAACCCCCACATTTTTTGAAAATAAAATTATTGCCTGCTCTTTAGCATATAAATGCTTTTCTTGACTTTATGACTTCAACATGACTGCAGGCCGAAATGGCCACTGGCTCTGAGATCTTCTCAATTGTTTAAAAAGAAAGCTGAATCTTGAGCCTCTGTTAATATTCAACCCAGGAAAAAAAATTCTTGCTATTCTCATTTAAAGAGAAAAAAATTTAAAAATTACTTTCATCAAGTAGAAAAACTAAATAATTACAGGCTTGCCAATCTGAAACTTCCCAAAAGGGCTTTAAGAAATGATTGCTATATCTCTACCTTAGTTGGTAATGGACACTCATCAAGCAACAAAGCTATGACAGCTGGTCCAAGGGGATCTTCCATTGGTATAACTCTTATTAGGGATTTCACCACATTCAGCCAGCCTTGGTCACAGTCTGCAATCTTGTGAAGTATCAACATGGCAAGGGGTGGTTCTTGGGCACTAAATAATTGAAAAAAAAAAAAAAGTTAAATAAATGTAGCGCTTCCAACAGCGAAATTTCCTTGATAAAATTTTTGTTCTGGCACAAATAGAAATTTTAAATTTGATATAGCAGTGGGCAATTTATTTTACAAAGCAGCAACAATTTGATAATTTTTCAATTTCTTCATAGTGTTGTAACCTCATTACTTCTGCAGAGGGCATATTTTTTATAGACCATTATAACTTCAATATAAAACTAATATTGCCATTAAATGCCAGTATTTGCAGTAATATTCAAGTTTAAACAATAATTCAAAAAATGGGTGAATTACTGTAGGGGCTGTAATGTTTATGAAAAATGAAGGTAGTAATTTAAAGCATGCTATTACCTGTCAAAAAAATAAATATATATCCAGGAAAAGCTTAATTTGCCATATGGTAACAGCAGAAATTTTAATGATATATCATCTTTGATTGAAAATCCACTTACTTGTCTACTAGTGTACGAATCACCGATAGTGTCTCCAGTACTAATCTATCTACATCTTCCTTCTCAGCATCTCTACTTCTTCTATTGGAACTGTGATGTTGTCTCTGCAAAAAATGAATATATTACATTTTTCTTAATATTTGTAAGAGCAGAGCTACACAAAAATAACATTTAAAGATTTAGATGGCAGTGTTTTATCTCAGGGGCTAGCATATATAAAAAATAAAATATATTTAGAAATTAATTCACGTGCCAAATAAAATTTTTCATGACAACCGAGAGTACTGTATTTGCAATATTCCAATTTGCTGGTATTTTAAAATTTCTCTGAGCTTTCCTGACATTAAATGCACCTTTTTTTTTTGTTCCAATCGCTAAAACTAGGGTTTAGGAGCAGGAATTTTTGGGCTACTAGACTCTAGGAATTATTTCTTGAGCTATGGTTATGCTCCGGCTCCATTACAGGTATTTATTTATGATTGCTTGGGGTGGGTGGGGGTCAGGGGGTTGTGTGTATGTTAAGCTTAAAGGATAAGGTAGAGATGTTAGGAGAGAGAGTAGGGTTAATGAGTACAATATAGGGTGTAACGGATAAGAGCAGGGATGATGTGGATTCTATAAAGGTGAACAAGGACTGTGAGGAGAACATTGCCAAATGAGGATTCCTTGTTTTTGTGTATAGACAGCTTGTTTATACAGATCCTGAGCAAAATAATGGATGCATTATTTACATTTTTAAAAATTCTGGACGCTGTGGTATAGTGTTATGAGAGTTTTAAAAATATTTAAAATGCACCCACCTGGTTGTTGTGGGAACGATGATGGTGCCGATGCCGTCTGTTGTCAGACTGGTCATAATTTGATGTCACAGAGCTACTGTGATGATTTTGATCACGCTGTCTGTTGGTACTGACATGAGAACTGCTATCACTCTCTTCTGCTTGAGTGATGGGAGGGTCTTGATTCTTGTCTTTGCATACACAAGCCCCCATAGTATTAAATATCAATCAGTCTGATGATTAGTTCAGTACAGCAACTGAAAAAAGTCTGTCCTTTTGTTTTTAAAAGCGGGACACAAATATTTTTGGTGTTTTCTGTTGTTAATGTATTGCATCACTTTAAACACCCATTCCATCTATAAGCTAACCAGGGCTTCATCATCTACAATCGGTCCTCCTAAAAGTAAAAAAAAAAGATTTAATATTAAAAATTGCTAATTAAATTCTGAAATCCATTTATCATAAATGCATTCTTTTTCATTCCAACATAATAAAATCCATTTAAAAAGGGTTTTACGAGAATATTTTTTTAATAGGCATTAGTTTTTATGGTCATATCAATCTAGTCCCAGATCATTTTGCCGCACATAAAAATGAAATTTTTAGGTCTATACTTAGGCCCTATTAAAGTTAAAGTAAGACAGTAGGTTTAGGTATAAAAAGACCATAACTTTAATTTCTAAGAATTATTGTATAGTTAAGTATATAAATGTTATAAAGGTAAGAAAGCTAAAAACCTTCAATTGCAATTATTCCACTAAGTCTAATAGTAATAGGCATTCATTAACTAACAATTGCCTTCTTACATACTCATACATTTAAAGCTGTTTCTCTAACAGTAACTGTAAAGAAAATCATAGTATACTATATATCAATATATAGGCCCAATATAGTAAATCAATAGTGAGATTTAAGTCTAAGCTGTGTCGTGTCTTCAAAACAAATTACCAGTACCAACTTCCAATTCAATAACACTACAGAAAGTCACAGTGATTAGTAGCACAACACTTCACAACATTCAGTGTACCTGTAAATAATAGTCTATGCCTACTTCTTTTCACTTTCACACCTATTCAGTGAAGCATTACAACAGTTAGGCATAAGCCATAAGTAGAAGAATATTACACTGCTGTCTGTACCAGGTAAGGTCTTTAACAGAATCATTTTGAATAGAAAGAAAGACCAGGTCAACATGCAGCTACGAGATCAACAAGCTGTCTCCCGCCGAAACAGATCATGCACAGATCAAATTGCAACATTAAGAATCATTTTAGAACAGTTCATCGAATAGAACTCACCACTATATATACATTTTATAGACTACGAAAAGGCCTTTGATAGTCTGGACCGGCAAACCTTGTGGAAACTTCTTCGGCACTATGGAGTACCAGGAAAAATGGTCAGGATCATTCAGAGTTCTTATGAAGAAATGACTTGCAGGGTCGTCCACAAAGGTAGACTCACAGATGACTTTAAAGTGGAAACTGAAGTGAGACAAGTATGTCTCGTGTCCCCCTTCTTATTCATCCTCGCCATTTGATTGGATAATGAAAAAATCCACAAACAAAAAGAGGAACGGGATAGTCAGGATACAGAGGACACTCTGGGAACAACTGAATGACTTAGACTTTGCAGATGACATTGCACTTCTGTCCCACAACTAGCAACAAATGCAGGAAAAGACAAAAGACGTAGCCACCATTTCAGCACAGCTGTGACACAATATAAATAAAAGCAAGACGAAGATATTGAAGGTAAACTCAGCCAACCAAGAGCATATCTCTCTGGCAGGAAAGGCACTGGAAGAAGTGGAGTCCTTCACATACCTAGGCAGCACCGTTGACATAAATGGCGTATCCAAGGCGGATGTAAGAGCCAGAATTGGAAATGCTAGATCAGCATTTGTGCTATTAAAGAAAATATGGGAGTCGAATGAGCTAAAGCTGCAAACCAAAGTCAGAATCTTTAACACTAACGTCAAAACAGTTCTACTTTTTGGAGCAGAAACTTGGAAAACAAACAGCAAGGATTACACAGAAAGTACAGACCTTCATAAGCACATGCCTCAGAAAGATCATGAACATCCAATGGCCAAATACAATCACTAACAAAGATCTATTAGAAAGGACTTACCAGGTGCCCATGATAGAGACATCATAAAGAGAAGATGGAGGTGGATAGGGCGTACTCTCCAAAAAACCCCAGATAGCATCACCTGACAATCCCTAACATGGAATCCACAGGGAAAAAGAAAGAGAGGAAGGCCAAAGAATACATGGAGACGCGATCTAGAAAATCTGGAATACACCTGGAAGCAATTGGAAAGGAAAGCATAGGACCATGATGAATAGAAAATTTGTGTGGACAGCCTATGCCCCAGATGGTGTAAAAAGGCACAAGAAGAAGGAGATTACAATATAATAAGGCTAAGTAATAAGTAAGGACAAGGAAAATAAATACTCATACTTTTTTTTACTAAAACTAAAAGTAACTATTGGGCTAGGCAGTCAGTGTCAGGCTTATTTCCAATTTATTATGCTATACTATTGTTACACTTAGTAATTAATACACCTAACAGCAGCCAATTAATTTAATACAAAATTGGTGAATTCCTTATTAGCCTTATACTTACACATTTGGCCAAATATCCGTCTTCAGTAAGTGAAGAATTATCTTGTCTTGGGTTGATTTTGTCAAATTTAGTGGAGTATGTAGTATTAGTATTACACTAGTATGTACGATTTCGCAATATTGTTTTTAAAGAAATATACCTTATGTATTCGCTATTTTAGGTTTCCCTTCACATATTTACATGACTGTTGGTAATTACTATTTTCCTATAAATTTCATTGCATTAGTAAAGAAGAGTAACACGTTAATTGCTAAAGAGTAAAGAAAATATTGGGAAATGGGTCAATTTACATATAACAAAATTTCAGACATGAAGGCTGCCATCTTGAATTTTCAGTCCGGAGACTACTAATATATTTTTAAAAAATAATTGCATGAAAATTACTTTAAATGCAGATTTACTCATTAAAATAATATTAAATACTGTCAAAGTACAATATGAAAATAAATTTGAATTTATTTGAAAATGAAGCATAGCAACGAAAATATCGAGAGTATAGCAACCATTAGCGTCAAGATGGAGGATTCGCCGAAAGGAATCACCGTTGTGACTGATACTGATGTTTTTCAACTTAATGGAAGGCCATGTGAACTGTCAGCATTTTCGCACATTCCAAAAAACCGTTTAAGTGTCCCTAAAGAGAGAAACTGTTTTAATTCGAATACACAGGTTTGATTTTTAAAAACTGTATAACAGTAGACTTACCAGATCAAGTAGATTTTCTTTACTTGCTCTGTAAGTAGCTGTGCCTGTGCCTTCAGGGACTATTGAGAATTTATTGGTAAAAAAACATTTTTAAAACACACACACACAACATATTTATTCTGGGCTATTAAAAAAATATTTGGAGGGACCAAAATCTCCAATATTAATAAAATTGCAAATTATTAATTGGCAAGGCACTAACTTGCACTAGCCCTAGCTGTGTATCATACTCTATCTCATTTCCTGGGATGAAATTGACTCTCAGCTCATGATGAGGTAAATTATATATAAGCCAGGTCGCTTAATCAGAGCCAAACGCCCAATAAACACTGACTTCACCTTTGACAACTCCATGAGCAGTTACATCTGGAACAATAGCAAATGCTTCACTGTGCCTTGGTGTAACACAGTTCAATATAATATAAGCAATCATTCTTCCCACGAACAATAGTTGCTTGGAACCAACTGGACAATGCCGCCGTGGACTCGACATCAATCGAGAGTTTCAAGGCTGCCCTGGCACCCGCTGGGAGGTGTTAGGATAGCCGCATCGTTTCCCAAACCGTTGCACATATGCCAGTACATGGTTGCAGCACCTAGTCTATCAGAATGAAAATAAATTATAATATAAACTGAATTAAACTATGAGAAATAGTCGGTTTTAATAATTAATAATTGCTTAATTTTTATAGTCTTTTATTGAAATTTGAATGAAAAACTACCGTATGTTAAGGTTACTTGAGAAGTCGGTCACTTGCTACTAATAACTAGTTGCTTCATTTTCTCCTTCTAAGCCGTAATAATAATAACTAATACTTAACTGCTAATATTATGCTTGTTTCGTAAAAGTCAGATAAGGTCGCCTGTAGAAAAAAATGTTACACTATATTTGAAAATTGCATTCTTTAATAAAGGCCTCAAATTCTTGTTACAAACCCATCATGAAATATGTACAAGCTAATGTTTGTAACAAATGGTTCATTAAAAAAAACAACTTAAGAATGAGCCCATAAAATGGTACCTTAATTTTTTTTTTTTTTGCACTTGCAATGGGATTTCTGGTTTAAAAAATCTACTAGAAGGGGCTATCCATTTATGACGTCATGCAATATTTGCAGATTTTTACCCCTCGTCACAAATTATCACATCCCACCCCACAAAAAAAAAAAATCAATTCAAAATTAATACTAATGTCTCCTATCTAAAATCAATAGACCTATTCATCATGTATTTGAGAAGAGAATGTCATGTTGTCTACAGCTGCCTGGACCTTTTTGTTTACAAACTAGGATAGCCCAACCCATGCGATAGGAATCTTTTCAATTACTGCACCTGTATCAGAAAAGAAACATTTCCTCCAAGAACAGAGGTTCCCAAACTGTGAATCCCAACAACTTGTGAAGCCTTGGCTTCCTTACTGGAGCACCTCAAAGTTAAAAAAATCATTAAAATTAGGTATTTCACAGTGCACTTGTTATAATTTGAGATAGGGCTCCATGTGAAAACCTGAATGCAGCAAGGGTGCCAAGGCTCAAAAAAAGTCTGGGAACCTCTGCGCTAGATCATTACTAATATCATTTTCCTGGTAACTATTTTGTTTCCTTCCAACTCCACTTATTCCCACACTCCAGTCTCCAACCTTTTTGACATAATTTATCCCAACAACAAATATCACTGCCCCTTTGACTTTTTCCCTCCATACCATCCTGTAACTTGATTGCCCAAGAGGGGTGGTCTTTCACATACTTGAGAAGGCCTACCAGCTCTTCACAATATTGATATGCTCAGTTATAATGATGGTGATCATAGCTTAAAATGAAAAAAAATTAATTCAAATACAATCAATCACCAAATAAACATCAAGAAACCGCAAGAAATTAAAATTTAATCATTAAAATTGGTGTTTAAATAAATTTTTTTTTACTAACAATTTGCGGGATTCACCTTCAGAGACACTACATAATGTTGAAAAATAGGTGTGGGAAAATTTACACGAAGCCCTTAACTTCAGTTTGTCACTCCTCTTAAAGCAAGATTAGTCTAAAACTTGCAATGTAATTCAATTTTTTCATGAAAAAGTGAGTACCAGTACATAAACAGAGTTTTTACTTCCGAATGTGGGATGTACACCCCACAGGGGGGAAATTCAAAATAGAAAATGTATTTTTTTTTTTTAACAAGAGGCGGGGGGTGGGGGGGGGGGGGGGGGGGTGTAAAAACAGGTCACTTATTGCAATTCAACTACTTGTGAGTCATTTATACAATACCGGTATATATATATTTTGATTATTGTAAGTTTTACTTGTATTTTGAGGCCTAAATTTTGCATTTTATAATTTTATCAGATTTCACACAAAACTGGAACTGGATTACACTTCAGATTTCTTTATTGGTTTACCATTTAGCACTGTCCTTTTGGACTTCAGTCTCTCCAACTAAAGCTCTTTTTCTTAGCACTTGACATCCATAGTCAAACACAAGTCTATGAACTTTTAAACTAACATATGGGAGGAGGTTGGAGTGGGGTCAATCAGCCGATTTTCTGTGAAAAATTGTTCCATTTCAATCCTTTGGCCAAAAGAAAAATTGTCCGATGACTGTCGTGAAATTGACCTAAGCATCTGCAAAGCTGTACATTTTATTATTTTAAAAAATCTTTTGCAGAGGCATCCGGTATCAAGATATGATAGGTTGTTTACTGTACCAGAGGGATACAACAATAAGCTACATAGAGATGACAGAGAGCATGCTAAATCAAGGGGGCTGAATGTCCATGTCGAGGTATTCTTTCAGGCTTATAATATTTCATATTTTAAAATAATCTATGATCAGAAATAGGTTGTGTATTGCATGTCTTATTTTTGTCAAGCATTTAAAAATGTAATAGCTACAGTTACCTTACAGTTTATAACATATTGTAGAAAATAGAGAAATCAATATATAAAACACTTTAAAATACAAGCATGAACATTTATCATTTATAAAAGTAAGAAGGAAAGGTTTTCAGAGAAAATAAAACAATTATCAACTATATTTTATCTATTATCTTTTGTATCAGGAGGTAGCCAAGGATGTTCCAACTCTTTCTTCTTCCATTTATGGTCAAAAATTGAATCTCCACGTAGACCATCCTGATAGAAAGCATGTACGAATTGGACACGTAAACTCTGAGTTTTACCGCCGCAATGGGATTCCAGCATCAAGTCTCAAAATTTAAATTTTACTTTACTTGAGCTGGCTCTAAAAATTACAAGTTAGAAAAAAATAAGCCCTATAGCAACTTGCACTAATGGTTTGTTTAAATTTCTAACAAATTAAAAAATTAGTTTTGCAAAATAATATTAATACTGGCAACCAGTTTCATAATAACAATTGTCAAGTCAGGCCTGCACAACTCAAAATGTAAGGCGGGCCGTAATACTTTATGAAAAACTCGTGGGGGCCAAAAGAAAAAATAAAATAGGACAAGGGTGAAAGCTATTAAGAAAATAATAAGAATAAAGAATATTTTGTTACTTCGTGGGCTGCAAAGTTGGTTCTGGCTGGCCGTATGTTGTGCAGGCCTGGTCAAAGTTATTGATTGTTTTAAGTAATGTGTGAGCAATGATCTTCCATTGATCTAGGATTATGGAAATTAAAAATGTTAATTTTATTTTTTGATGTAAAGATTAATACCAGTATTCTCCGCTTGGCTGTGATATTATGCTTAGTGTCAAAATTTAAAAAAAACAACCTTTGCATGAGATATGTAGCTTGTATTTTAAGTTGAAAGTTTACTTGTATACATTTGTTAATTTTACTGTTTCAAAATGTAAAATTAAAAAAATTTAAATTGAAGCCATTAGGGACCATGCACATATTATATAACGTGAAGGGGGTAGGACAGGGGTGTCAAAACTCAAATAACATGTAAGTTTGCGGGCCGAACAGGATTTCAATAAGCGGAAAACTAATATTTTTTAAAAACATTTATATAAATGAAAACAAAAAAGTTTTAATAATTAAAAATCACTGGCATACCCATTTTCGCTCTTATGCCAATTTGTCAAGAGTTGGATTTTTGGCACATTTTCTTGGCTACAAAAAAAAGAAAGTTCGTCTGTGTCATTGAGATTCTTATGATGGACTGCAAGTGTTTACCAGCGAGATGACTCCTGTGTGATTTTTAGTTAATCTTCATCACAGAAAATAGCTTCTCACACATATATGTGCTAACCAACATCCCCAGGGTTCGAGTCGCATGTAGTCAAAGCTGGGACATCTCTTCAGGAATGAAACTAGTGAACTGTGCAGGCCCAAATGTGTCATACTTTGCCTTTAGTGTCCCATTACACTGCAGCTCTATTATCTCCATCTGCAAATTTACAGGTGCAGTTTCCACGCCTATGACAAATGGGTTATGGAACCGCTGGAAATTGCATTTCTGTGCTTCGAAGTCACTAAAGCGCTATGCGAACTTGGCGCAAAGGAAGCTAAGTTTTTCAGCAAAGTGTGCTTTGAGAAACACCATAGCGTTGACTTGGATATATTTGTAAGCCGGTCAAGACCTCGCAAGCCTGATATAATTGTTCAGCGGGCCGGATGTGGCCAGCGGGCCTCAAGTTTGACATATGGGGTAGGGGATGGTTTATCATTTTTTGTACCAGCATTGTGTTGGATGGGGTGGCTGGGTAGAGAGCAATTTTATATAACATTACTTTTCATTTTTATTTGTGTTTTAAAAATGATTCTTATATTTTCAAAATGTCTGCCTTTTAAATTTAGCCTAGATTATTAAAAACTACAGTGTACTTATTGCTTACAAGAAGAATTAGCCAATTAAAAAAAAAAAATATATATATTGCTTTTTGCTTGAAATTTACTTGTTTTGGACTTAATTGAGGTTAATGGAAAGGGGTGGTGGGGGTTGCTAGAATTGTTATATAAATATATCAAGAGCAGGGAAGTGGGAAAATTTTTTTCATATTTTTGTTATATAATAATATGAGCAAGGCCCCTTAGCTATGTGTTCCCATAATATTATTAATATTCTTTGAAATTTTATTTTAGAGGATGATCATAACATTATTATTTGGAACCCCATTTATTAAAAAATTCCAGGAACATTGGTAACACATAAACAACATATTATTATTAGGTGATATCAGATCTTTCTCAATTGAAATAAAGACTCCATCTGATTATGACCAGAATATTTATATTTGTGCCTTCTTTATTATTATTATTATTATTTTGTTTCAAAGAGTTCATTTAGAACAACAAAACAGAAACATCCCAGACAAGTGGTCAGCTCTTACACCAATTTTAAGAGATTATTGCAAAAAAGTTGCTTACCTTACCATAACAATATAAATTTTCAGTACCAGTTGGTCGAACTGTACTGGGTACAGGTTTTAAACATACCGGTATATATTTACAGTAAAAATTCAGCATTGCACACACTTTGATTTGTAATGTGAATTAATACCTCATTACCCCCTGAGTAATAGTAATAGCAGTGCTGCTAATTTCTACACTATAAATATAAAGAATAGGTACACAAAGGCAGTACTCCTGGTACCATCTTAACAAAACTTAAAGTGTGAAAATGCAAGAGCTAAGACTGATATTAACTTTAACAGTCTAAAAAATTATATTTTATGCACTGGTATAAGTCGCTTAAAATAGCTTACTAAGTTACATTAATTTAACCAGAGTTATATCTAAATTTTAATATGCTAAAATTGCACAGAGAAACTGATTTTTTTTCCTGTAGGCCTATAGTTTTTTTTTTAGTGACATTATTTTATAAAATTTACTTGCTTATGGGAATTCAGTTTACAAATTGATGTTCGATTTATCTGTGGTGCCTAACTATTTCAAATGGGTGAAACCCAACTGCAAAATTATTTTATTATGCCATGTTAAGATTAAAAATTAAATGTAGGGTACCACTGGTAGAGGTACATCTATAAAAGAAATTAGATGATTTCCAAGATGAAAGCATTATCCAATTCTATTCACATTTTTTTAGCATAAGATACCACAATTTAAAGGGTATTAAATGGTTTTAAAAAAAAAACGTACAGTAAAATGGTTGCAACAAGTTAAGAGGCCCTTAAAGTTAAAGCTTCAACCATAACTGATCATAATAATTCACAATACCTTAGGAAGGACAATAATACAATTTTTTATGTTTCATCTCGTTTTGGTGTGCTACCACAAAGTTTGTTTTCTTTCTCCATTTCATTGACTCATATTAGCTCAATTTGGACATTGTAATTTTTAAAAAATGTTTTTTTTCAAGAATTTCAAGTTTTCATAATTTGGTCTAGACCAATCTTTATTCAAAAATTTTGGATAGAAAAATGCCGGTATATCTATATATTATTAAATATTAATATATAGTGCAGTAATTGAAATCAATATTGTTTTGACAACTTTATATTTTGCTAAGTAAGCATAAGTTATTCTATTTTACTTTACTACATAAACACTGAAGTTACGTATAATTGATGTCTTACCAAAACAACAGTTTCTGAATAGTCAAGAAAAACATTTGTTTTGTACCAACTTTAATTGAATATGTTACAGTTTAAGACAAAGTAATTAACGAAAATTACAAAAACAAATTAATTACATTTTTGGACCAACTTCCATTGAAAGTTACTAACAATCAGTACCACGCAAGAAATGATAATAATGGTAAATCAAGATTTAATTCTTGACTAGACAAGTACCAATGGAAATGTGAAAGGCTTGTTACTAGGTCACAAGTACAATATTTGCCCATGCCATATGATGCAGCTCAGATAGGGCTAAATGACTAAATGTCGTATAATTTACAGAGCATATTATGCCATGCCACTATATGTACAAAAATTATGCCCCCACATACAATATACCTCAATGCAATAAACAGTTCATGAAGTTGAAGCATTAACAAATAGCAGGTATTTTAATCAGCTCTTTTAAAGTACACCATGAAGAAATGACATTACACAAACAAAAAAGCACCCGTAATTTGTCAAACTGCAATCTAGACCTTTAATTTTAACATACCTACATTAAACAATCTCACTCATTTATGAAAATGAAGTGAAAAAATAATATTAATTAGGGTGTGAATTTCAGCAGCAGGAAGATCATCTGGAATTTATAAATTATTGCTTCCATATCACTAATGAAGAAGTGGGATGACACTGGTACCACATAAAGGAAAAGCAATCTTTCAAAATTTAGAAAGGGACCCAGAGTGGTTTAAGTTGGTAATACCGGTACCATGTGTTACATTAGAGTTCCTTACACTGAATGTATTTTATGACACAGCTATTCCTGAATATAGAGTTTAAAAAAAAATAAGAGAGAAGACATGAAATAAAAGACAATTTTCACATCATTCTTATAACAGATTTTTTTTTTTATTTTAGTGGTTCTTGGCAAAGGCACAAAAAATTGGTTTTAAAAACCTGGAAAGCATTATATTTATTCTAATATTAAATTACTGAAACTTAGTACCAGTATAAACTAATAAAAAAAGATATGTTTAAGAAATGGAGATGTTACTCCACTCATAAATGAGCAAACAGTACAATGCTATACAAAACTTACATTGTTTTCAACAAAGATAAACACAATAAAAACATACCTTCCAATTACTTCCATGATAGACAATACACACTCCTGAACAAAGGCTACCTAGTGGAAATTACACTTACATTTTTAGGACATAGAATCTCAGTATAGGGATGGGTAAAGACAGACAAAAAAAAAACAAAAACAAAAAAAAGACAAAAAAAAACCAAAACAACCCACCTTAGTTACCACTCAAGCCCTGTAAAAATACTTCAGTGATGTTTGGCTTACCAGACACAACACCCACCTCACAATTTTATAAAATAAATTATCTAGTAGGATAATAAATGTATTACTAATAAACTTGAGTACAATTTTAGAAAATGCTAATCATGGTCAACAAGGTCACAGTAACTTTATGAAAGATCATCACCTAAAAAATGTATTAATGAATTAGAGTTGTTTATGAACCAATATAATTTAATTGTGAATGAAACATGAAAACATATCTACCGGGGTCGCACTTGTATTCCTCAACTATAGCTAGTTAAATTAATACAAAAAGGCATTCTAGTGGTTGATTTTAACCGAACATCCATTTTTGAAAGCACTGATCTGGCTTGCTAGGCTACCACAACAACTTGTCACTACTTAAATTTTTCATACATTTTACCCAATAAAGCTTTACCTTTCTTTTATTTAATGACACTGCTTACGAATCTACACTGGAAGAAAATTCAAGATGAAAAGACATACATCTTTCAGTATGCCACCTAGCATCTATACAATGCTTAGTATAATTACAGTTGCTTGCTAAAAGGTACTGAAGTTGAGACAAAAAACAAAACAAAAAGATTCAATGACACATTTTTCTTTGAAGAGGTGGGCTCTTCATACTCAATTAAAAAAACAAACAACAGCAAATGATTGTCAAATCATTTTCAAATGTATTGCTGTATTGGCTGACAATGAAAAATTTAAAGAACAAGGTGACAATTTCTGATTCCAATTACGACAATCTTAAATCTTTTTTAAATGATTGAAGTACATAAGAAATGAGAATGCGTATGTCATAATGAGAGCTGGAAAGCAACTTTTTGGGGGCTTCACATGACACACCTGGTCATCTTCTAGATGTTAATTATGGTAAGATGTTCATGATTTTAGACATCCAGCACACTGTACAGTAAGTAATCCTGGGTATAATGTCAAGTATAAGCAAGGAAAAAAATATTAGCTAGGTACACATTTGTCCCCATTTTCCCCCATGATTAATAGGGTATGACAATAGCCATACTTTTGTGATCCTCAGACATATATTCACAAATTGAATACCAAAATTATGAAGCACAATAATATTATATATATTATAGCAAGTAATATCTATTGCAATAACTTTAAGAGAATGTCAGTGATGTTACATAAATAGTCCTGTTATGTACACAGAATGTAGAGTTTGCTGTACAAAGTCACTTAGTTCTCCAAATGAAAATTTTTTTCTTAATAAAATTAAGAGGACTCTAGTGCTAAAAGTATTTAAAATTTAACTCAATTTATTATTTATTTTGAGATAACCCATTTAGAAAATTCTAAGGCATTATCAAATAAGTTATTTTTTGTGAGTGCCTCTCCTTGGAAAAATATGCATTTCTTATTTGTACATTACAGATTACTCACTTGAACTGTTTTGAAATAATTTTGAAAAATGTGACCAAGTACTTTTAGCACTAGGATATTCATAATAAATTTAAAAGGAAACTTTAGATAAGAAACCACTTACATTGGAAGCTGGGCAATTATTAACCCTTCATTGGTTTCCAAGTTCTTTTAAAAAAGAATGAATAGCAAAATTCTATATTATAATAATTTAAATAATATTGAAAATATATCATGTGTGATTATTCTTTTTATTATTAAATATCACCTATGCTTTTTATACTTGTAACATTAAAAATGTATAGATGCTATCCTACAAGGAGATATTTCTTATGTTTACAATAGACTCAATAGTATTTACAGTAACACAGTTTCATTTCAAATGCTTTAAGAGCCTTTGAAGATATTTTGAATTTTGCAATATACATTTTAATATTTTATTTAAACATTTTTGGATAATACAAAATAATGAAACTTTTTAACACTGGAAAGCAATTAGACAAAAGACACAGAGCATTTGATAAATAAGAGACGTAAAAACACTATCACAATAAATAATATATGATGGAGTGTATTTCAATTACAATTGATCCAGTTTGGTAATTTTGAAATAAAATGCTGTTAGAATTTCCCAGATTTAAAAAAGAAATTTAAAAAATTATGACTAAAATTTTGATTTAATCTTAACCACCAATTGATTCCAAGTATAAGATTAAGAAATTTCAGTTCTACATTTTACAAAAACAGCTGAGTGTAGTTAGTTCACAACTGCAATCTTGAAATCGAAATTAAGCCCCCTTCCAAGTTAAAAATTTAAAATTATTAGTACAGTACCGGTACCAAAATTACTGAAATCTGCAATCAAACAAAAATGACCATGAATTACACAGAACTCAATTTAACAGGCTAATTAAACATTCAGATTAAGACAGACATCTTGTGAATAAGAACACTGCACCTGGTACCCCAAACTTAGTATTTTTTTAAATACCTAAAAGACAAAAAATGGTTGCACAAGTCTTAAGAATTTATGCAGGTTGGTGTGTTATTACATTTAAAGTTGCACTTGTTATGGTGCTTAGATCTTTTCAAAGTTTTAAATTAGGTATAATTAGTTATTAAAAAGTGTTCAAAAAAAAGTATGGGTAATGTGAAACAATTTACCCCTTGAACTAAGATATATAACTTTTTAATGTGAATCAATTTACCCCTTGAACTAAGATATATAACTTTTCAGTTTAACAGTTTAAGTTATCTAGAATAGGGAATATAGAACTATTTTAAACAATACTGAGAAATGTATGAAAATTTACAAGTCAACTTCATATCGCAACTACTAGTGGTAAACAAAGGTAATGAGGTGATTATTTTATCCCAAAAATTGTAAGTGTTTTCTTAATATTGTCAGCTATTGTATATTTCCACAGTGCACCTGGAGAGATCACTTGGAGAAATTAAAAACTTGGAATTTAATTGAAAAGGCTGTTATTTAAAGTATCTGGATAACTCTGTTCTACTGTATTTTGCCATAAAAAATTTCAGGACATGAAAAGCTAATATTTAAAAGAATTGATAGATTTGAAAATTTAAAAAAAAGGGGGAGATTTCTAAACACTTAACACAAATCAAATGGTTGAAAAGGCAAATTTAAAATACTAAAAGCCTCATTAATTAAAACTTTTAAGTATAAATGAGAAATTTTTTAATAATCTACCAGTACTTTTTAAACCACATTTCTCTAAAGCTAAAAAAAAAATATACACCAACTTTGGAATGAGTCTGAAGTTTTGAAAATCCACATTCAGTACATTAATTAAGCTTTTTCCGTTTTCAGTTTTTTACTTTTTTGAGATTTTGAATCCCCTTCTTCTGATTCATTATCAGAGCCAGAGATCTCACTTTCTAGTTTTCTTTTATTGCTCAAAGTTAAGTCATTTGATGTTCTGGATTCAACATCACTGACACTATCTTTAGCATCATTTAAACAAGATTCACTATTATCAATGTGAACTTTATTATTAAGATCTCTTACGTCCTTAGCAGAAGCAATTTTAATGTCAACATTTTCTTTTTCACCACTATCATCAATGTCCAATAGCTCAGTACTTTTTATTGTCTTGTCCATTACCGGTAACACATCTTCAATATCATTGTCTGAAATCGTTTCTTCTTTTACTTTATCATTATCGTCAATTTTCACCCCTTCATCACTGGTGTCCTTACTACCGTCTGATTCTGAAACTTCAGCACTTTCTGCTTTTTTTTCAGCAACAACTTTTTTCATTTTCATATTCGCCAATTCTTTAGCCAAATTATCGTTGTACTTTTTTACTTTGCAAGCTGGTCCCATTCTAGGTTTTTTCCCAAAGAGTTTCGGAGCAACACTGGATTTAATTTTATTTGCAGAACCATCGTCATCTGAGTCAGATATCTCAACAAGAATCTGCTCGGAATCTTTGAATGGATATGGACGTTTTGTCCAACGTTCAACTACATCTTTATCAAGTTTGCTAACTTTGACACTAAACTTTCTCAAGTGCTTGTCCCTTAAGTGTTTCACATAGTATGCAGGATGGAAACCAGTTTCATTGCACATGCAGCAGTCACGAGTACCACTGGGTGAAGAAAGACAGGTATGTTTCATAAGTGATGCTTTGTCAATGACAACCATTCCACATTTCATACATGTATGGTGCATCCGCATGCAGTGGCGAGTGAGATCCACATTCCGGCCAAAGTTAAGGTTACATAGAACACACACACTGCCTTTCACTAAACTATTGTTTCCACCCTTCTTTTGATTTGATGCTGTTTTTGCAGGTGGGGCTGCAATAGGTGCACCAGTGTTTGATCTAAGTGTGCCTGTAAGAGGATCAACATTTCCATGGGCCTTAGATATATGTCGCTCACACTCTTGACGAGAACTGAAATGTCCTCCACAGAACATGCACATGAGAGCATTAATATAGTGCTGCATTTCTCTATTATGTACTATTCGCATGTGAAGGAGCAAATTGAGTACATGATGACCACAAGAGATGCATTTGCCAACTACTCCTCGTGCTTGTTTCTCTTCTTTATGCGAATCAATATGCTTATGAATATGCTTTCGAAGACCTTGTGCTGTCCAAAATCTAACATAGCATGTGGCACAATACAAAGGAGCCTGAATTCTTTCAAATAAATTGAAGGGCAAATCTATCCGATGAGCATAGAAAAAATGGATGCGAAGTGCTTTGCGATCTTTAACATAGCCGCTACAGATTTCACAGACCTCAAAACCACTAGGTGCCCCCCCTGATTGTGCACCAGCAGGGGCTGATCCAGGATTTGGGGGTCTGTTATTCAACATACTAGCAACAGTTGGACGGGAACCCTTAGTGTTAGCATTATAACGTACAGGTTGTGGCTGCCCTGGCAACTTTCCTGGTAATGGCATTCTGCCTCCTGGTGGTGCATTGAAGCGTTGCGCCAGGGCTGCCGTTTGTAGTTTTTGCTGCTGCATTTTTCTTGCCGCAATAGCAGCTGCATTCTTTTGAGCAGCTAAGGCCTGAATCTGGGCTTGTTGTCGTCTAGCTTCTGCAAGGGCTGCTTGCTGTTGAGCATGTTTTTGCTGTAGAAGTTTCAAGTTCTTAGGAATAACAGGTTTGTAAAAAATATTTTCTAGGCACAAGTTTATTTCTGCTCCAGAAAGGCAACCAGGGTGAAGATTAAACAAAGGCCGAAACTGTTTGATACATCGCTGCTTATGCAAAATGAGCTTCTGCTCTTGATTATTTTCATATGGACACATATCACATTCATAAAAGGCTTTCTTATCAGGGAGCTTTGGTTGGATTGCATGAACTGATTCCAAATGAAACTTAAAAGCCATCGTCTGCCTTGTGGCAAAGTTGCAGTGTGCACAGCGCAAGTTTTTATTGTCCTCATGTGGAAATTGCTTGTGTAGATACATAACATTATTAGATTCTGTCTGAAAATTACATCCTTTGCAATGCTTTTTAAGCTTCAATTTCAGATGGCCAATGGACGCATAAAGGTCCTTTTCAATTTCTTTAAGCTTTTCAAGGTCATCCCTTTCTTTATCAGTAAGTTTCTCATCATCATTTTTTGATTGAATCTTCACTAATTCATGGTACACAGATTCCTTAACTAAATTTGAACCTATGTCAAATAAAAATTTAGCTAGTGGCCCTAGCTCACTTCCTGCATTTGGTTTGAAATACTTGGGTCGAGTGTTAACCCTGTTTTGAATTTCCCATCTTATAAGCTCAATCTGATCCAAACTGGATTTTGGTTTGGGCGGGGCAACAGAAGGTGTCAGCAATGACACACCTGGGGGAGCTTGACCCTGAATGCCAGAGTTAAAAACAAAGCCAGGTGGTAAACTAGGCATTCCAGTTGCCATGAATCCACTTTTACCAGGCTGTGTTGAGGCTGCAAGACTATGCACCAATGCTGGATTGTGAATACTGTTGGTTGCTATGAGATTGCCTGTGGTTGCAGTAAAACCTTGACTATTATTGCTGTGTGTGGACACTGTCAAAGCAGCAGGTATGAAGACAACATTCTGAGATACTTGGGTCTTATTTGTGTTATTTATTTGTATCACTTTAGATTCCCCAATAATCTCAATGTCATCATTTGCTGAATCCGAGCGTTCTGAATGCTTAATCTTTTTCTTGTCAGGGGCCTTCTCAGGGGAAGCAATGATTACTGGATCACTTTCTTCCCCTCCTGAGGGACATCTATTTTTGTTTTCTTTTTCACTATCTGCTCCCTTTTCTTTTGGTAATGACATCTCAGATTTTTTTTCAGACTTTTCAGAAGTACCCTTTTCTTGATTATCATCATTGGAATCACTGCTTACATTTTCACATGCTTCAACATCTCCACTTGAATCATCTGAGTCACAATTCACAATATCTGTATATTTTCCACTGTCTTTTACCTCCGACGAACTCTCCTGTTCACAGTCACTATTGTCAACATCAGCCTCAAGTTTAGATTTTTTCGTTGGGTCGAGCTTTTGCTCTTCCTCTTTAAAAGCTTTGTTTTCTTTACTTGGACTTCTAGTTTTCTTTTTCTGGATACTTTCATCAGGACTCTTCAATGTTTCATTGTCAGATAATTTACCATTGACACTTTTATTGTCTTCCTCATTATCACCATTCAAAAGCTCAGTTGAGTCATTTGAATCAACTTCGGCTTCTTTGGCAACAGAACCATTCCGAGCCATGCTTTTTTCTGACAAACTTCCTGAAGATAAAACCTCTAATTCTTCTTGCTCATCTGTGCCATTGTTCATGTGTTTTTTTATTGCTGTAGTGGGAGTATCACCTTTGGAAGCCATCTGAAAAAAAAAACAACAAAAAAATATATAAAAAATGTAAGAAAATTCACTTAAATATACCCTGTAATAAAGAGTAATAATTTTCTAAATTTCACACTAAGGGGTGTTAAAAAAACATATTAGGAATGTAAAATGATCTGTTGTGCACAATTTGAAATGGCAATTTCCAATAAATGTTACTTGCAACCATCTGAAACAAAGCTTAATTATTTTGCATTATAATTTGTCGGTGGTCACGACTGAAAGCATGACAAATTAAAGTAGAATATGATAACATAAAATAAATGCTTCAATGATAGTAACAAGGATCTTTGTTCACTTCAGTTGTTTCTCTTTCTGAATCAAAATCTTTCAAGTCTTCATGGTGTCTAAAACATAGCATCCATATCCTGACAATTTGCCATTGAAATTGTTTCCACCTGGAAGAACACTTCACAATGTTTGAAAACTATTTGGTTTTGAATGAGGCCCATTCAAAATAACTGCTAAGATCTAACTTTTGTAGAAAATATTTTCCAATTTATAAATATCTTAAGGTTATATAAGTGTTGTACATCAAAACGTAATGTTTTTTTAAGTGACCACTAGTAAAAGTTGTGGACAAAAGTTTTTTAAGATATAGGGAATAGGGTTTGGACAGCAGCTGTATATTTCTCTTTGACTATTATAGATTTTGAATACTAAATTGCCTTTTCACATTTGTGCCAACTTATGATATAGATACCAATGCCACAACTTTAATAGTAAAATTAAGAATAATTTAGGGCATAACATAGAGATCTTTAGTCAATAAGATTTTAAACCTAAGACGTGGATAGTGGATAGAAGACCCAGAATGCTAATGATTTTGAAAATTACTTGATAAGTGTTTCTTTTTGGAGGAATGAAAGCCTACAAATAATTTTGGGGGGGGGTGGGGTCGCAATCCAGATTTATATTTCTCGGTATACAGCATTATTTATTTTTGCCATAAATTGCTTTTGAATATTCAGGCAGTACGGCCCCCTGTATTTCTCTACCCCTGCTATTTACCATAGTTATGACGTGTTACACTCAAATGATAGAAATAACTAATGTAAATTCTCAATAAAAAAAATTAGACCACTTCATACAACAGTAATCTAGAAGTCTGTATTAATGGCAAACTGTAGCTATTGTTAACTATTTCAGCTATCAAGGGTTATTAAGTTATTAAGTCCATGGGAGATGCGTTCCTTGGCAGAAAGTGATCGCATATTTTCCTCTTTCAAACAAATATTAAAAAGAATGCCCAATGTCCATCAGTTGCATAGTTCTATGTATTAAAATATTTTACAAAGTGCACAATGAAACTATATAATTTGGCTCACCCAACACATTATTTTTCATACACATTAAAAAAGCAAATTTCAGAACGAGTATTTTAAGTGATCTAGGTTCACGGTATTCCTAAATTAAGAAAGGAAATGTATGCTATGGCCAATATTAGCACATACCATTATATTGATGCAATCTTTATGCGTCTCATATCCCAATGCACTATGTTCAGTCATTGAGGCCAATGTCTTTTGGGGAAGTTTCTTCCAACTAATCATAGCCTCTGCAAAGTTGTACTCTTCATCTCTAACACAATTTAGAGCATCTATTTTAGCCTGTAATTTTCCACGATAACCAGGTTTAGGTGGCTTGAGTGTATCTCCCTCAACCAAATTTCCTATGCCATGACGTTTCTTAAATTCCTCCAACCATTCAATGCTAACCGTAAATGAAGGATCTCCACCAAGCTTTTTATTCACTGCAATGGCTTTCTTGATTACTAAGGGCCCTGACAAAAGAATGCCTTTGTTTTGTTTTTTAGAAAACCATCGATACAGTGCAGTATCTAGTTGTTCATCTAAAGGAAGCTTATTACGATCTTTAACATAACAGTCAGTGGGTTCTACTTCTGATGCATGGCTTTCAATTTTGTCTGCATCATGCTTTATGTCGTTTACTGTTGATCTTCCTATTCCATAATCCAAAGCTATACTTGAAGCACTTTCACCATTTCTTAGACGGTTAATTATTTCAATTTTTTGGGATAATCTCAACACTACACGTTTTCGTTTCTCTGCCATTTCAATTTAGCTTGCCTAAAAATAAAGTTAAAGAACTATAGGAAAAAATAAAAAATAAAGTGCTCAAATGAATTATGTGGTGGCATTGGCAGCAAATTAATAGAAAAACGACACAGAGATGTTACAGAAGTAACAGTGGAAGTGGTTAAATAAGTCTGACATGTCAGAGGTTGATTAGATAGTGCAAGTGGTATAATAACTAATAAACTTACTCACAGAAAGCTGATCCCTTGCAACTAACAAATTATAATATATGTTCCAATTTGTTGAATTTTAACGGCACTAAAACTATTTGCACTTAATTCTTATAAGCCTTAAACAGAGCCTCCAAGTTGTAATTAAATTACTAATAAAAGCCAAATAAAATAAACACTAATTACAATTTTAGAACAAGAGGGCAGGCCTCACTCTCATCTCATTTATTTTACTTCCATTTGCCCATTTCCATGAAAAAAGTACAATTAAAGTTTCAGCTAGTTTCACTCTCAGTATATGATTAGATTAACAATAATTATTGTAATTTTGACATCTAAGTCCAAAAATAACTCAATAAATATCTAATTCACACTACTGTATGCCTAACTAATAATCTTTTTATCAAATCATCTCATAAATATTATTTTGGCCTATCCTACTTAAGGACCACAAATTGCAATGAGGAAAAATGTTTGTTTTACTTAGCTTGGACGTAGTCTTAACACTACAGCTAAATACAGGTTTTATTAAACTAGTTAGTAGTGACTACTGATAGTGAGGCGTACACACACTAAGTATGGTGGTAGTAGTAGAACATAATTTAAGAGCCTAGGCAAAATCTTAATGTATATTAGACTAGGCCTACTAAGTACTAAATTTAAAATGAAATGCAATTGCATGTTTCCTGTAGAGCCTAAGTTTATTTATGGCAATTATAGCCTTTAACTTTAAATTAGTGCTGGTAGTGGAAACTCCACTTTCCCCCATCCACCATCATGGTTTTATATAATTTAAAGTCAATATCAAAGAGTTTTTTTTGCTGAATGCTTGAACATATACCTGTACTCAAAATGTATATTTTCATTCTGATTTGTGATTTCAGTCAGCTGCGAGTTCTGATAAAAGTTTAGGCTTATAAATATGCCAATATGAATCAAAACAGGAAAAAATTGGTAAAGTATGTATTCAAACACAAGGTCAAGTCAAGGCAGCTTTTTCAACATAGTTCAAAATAGACAAATCACACTGTAAAATGCCTTGGCAAGAAAGCAAGCTGTTTAACCACACCGATTTTGAAAAAATTTCAATTAATAAAACATCTTAAATCAAAAGGGACCAGTTTGCGAATAGAACATATTTTCAAATTTGGAAGAAGATCATAAGTCCAAACTGCTGGAGTTTTTAAATCATTCTCAAACCAATAGGCCTAATAAATGTCCAGCTTATTTACTCCATCATTATCATTCATGGAAAACTGATGTTTAGTGTGTAATGTATTTGGTAAAAATCAAGGGCATTAAGTAAGAACAAAACATTTCTAAGAGTAAGAGTGATAGGCCCCTAAACAAATAGAACAACAAATTGGAAGGCTGGAGATCCTCTAGTGCAGTCTATAATTTTAACAATATTTTTCTTCCATTTTGCTCTCAGAGAGGTAAAGTTTATTTTATTTTTTGAAGGACACTTCAAATCAACCTTACTTGCAGCTTTCCATATGCTATTTTTAAATACATTTTATTGTTCCCTTTTCGATACAAATAATTTGATATACATATTACATGGAGAAGATTCATGTGGGGATAATATTTCACTATTACATATGCAGATTTGGCTGAATAAGGTCAAAAGTCTTAAAAGTACAGCAGAATTTATTTTAAGATGTATGTTTGAACTCAGACTGTTTGGGTGGTCACAGAAATTTGTAATGGCATAAATAAATTCAAGTCTCTGCTCTTTTTCAATAGCTCTCTCAAAGTCTTATACTTATACCAGTTTTAGTTACTTTTATACTATACATGATGTCTTAAAATCAATGAACAGAAAGAGTTTCAGGCTTCAGGTAATCCCAAAATAATTCACCAAAAAAAAAAAAAAAATCATAAACTTCTTCAGAATTGACATTCATACAACTATGAATTTGGTATCAATGAATTGCTTTTTTCAGACCCTATCTAACCAACTAGCTCTTAACGTCTTAACGCCCTGTAACTATAACTGCATTTTGAAAAATGTGTCCCAGTAACTATTCTGTAGTTTGTCACTGTCACACACACGAGAAAAGTAAACGCTCTCCTGCTCCTCTAACTCTAGTCCATGGTGTCGATTATTGTTAAATATAAATCAAACAAATAATTATGTTCCTTTCCATTACAGACCCATTTTTAGTACCGTCGGTTAATTAAAATGAATATTCCATGTTGATACTAATAAAAACAAAACTCGATATTCCACTACGGAATGTGCGATACTACAAGGAGGGGAGGAAATCACTAGTATTTTACCAGTATGTCAAATTGCAGACCGGTGTTTACCCATCATGCGTTTTGCTTCACCGTCCGCTTTCGCCGAAACCATTTGATGGTATAATCGTAATTTCGATATTGACGATGGCGATATATTCGATATTAAAACATGTAATTCACTGTTTTGTTAACACGCTTACCATTTAACTCTAAAGAATGTTATAATCCGGGAAACCAAATCTACAACCCTGAAAAAGTCGTGACACCCATGACAACTTTTCAGTACGATTGGCAAAATATGGCGGAGTCCTATCACGTGATTAAGAAGGCGCCCAACACTGTAGCCGACAACGTCAGAGGATCTGCATAATTACCTTTTTAACCAATGAAATCAAAGATAACATGTGCGCATGCGCCTATTTCCTCTCTTCATTTCTCCTCAATTTCTTCCTCCTCACCTCCTCAGTCTCGTGTGTCACTCTTCTATCTCATATAGGCGGGCTTGTGGGTAGATTGTAACACGTTTTCATGGGCAGAAATATCGCTACGCCATGCTGACGTAATAGTCGAGTTCGGGAGAACATGGACATAGTATCCTCATTGGCCACTTCCTCTCCAAAAAATAAAAAAAAAATAAATAAAATCTGCATTTAATAAAATACAAGTGGACAATTATTCCAACATTTTTATATTATAATGGGCTTTCTGGCTTTTAATGAATGACGTATACCAGCATGGTATTTCAATTAGGTTTTTTCAAGAGCGTGTGAAAGGCGTTTTAAGGTCTCAGCATTGATTGAATTTAAAATGTGGTCCAGAGGACATAGAGAGTAAGAACCGCTCCTGGATTTATCGTCTTTCTTTTGCTATCTTTGATTAGCAATTTTTTTTAAAAAAAGTGAGCCTTGTCCAAGACGTCCGAAAGCGTAGTGGAAACTTAGCTTCAATATAATAGATAGTTACTATGTAGGTCTACGGCATCATTGGTCAAAACTGGCATTGGTGACAACTATCTGGAAATAACCTTCTAAATCACAAGGACATAGATCTTGCCCCCAACCACGATGAGAAGAATGGTTTGGTGTGACTGGACCGGGGCACAACCTGACGAGAGCCAACGTGGATAATATTTAGAAGTGGAGGTTCGGGGGAGACTGGTGACCATAGCCAAATATAAGACGGATGGACGTATCTTAATTGATTGGATCCAGCAAAGATTAATTTGTTTTATTTTTTTCTTTAATGCAAGTGTTTGGGGGAAGGGTTTTTAGCTTTTTCTAATCTCTGAGCGGAGTTTTGTCGCCTTTCTTATAATAAATTTAAATGTTCCCTTTTATCCAAATTCTATGTCCAACCGAGTTTGCCACTCTAAGCATCTGCATTTATTGCCCCCCCCCCCCAACCCTTTTTAAACCCGTGTTTGGTATTTCTCCTTCCCTTTTCCCCCATCATTTGGAAGGGGTAAGGGTTGGAGGAGGAAGGATGAACAAAATCCTCTAGAAATAAATACAAAGTGTGACGTCATTTTCAGCATCGAGAGTATTTTTCGTTGACACGGGCAAATGGGGAAATGAAATTACTTCCTCTAAATAAAAAAGGAAAGAAAGTAGACATTGAAACCCAAATGTCGACTCATTTCAGCTCACGTGTTATCGATGCTCCCCTAGGTAATTTGACTGAGTTGTAAAAGGGGGGTGTGGGGGGGGGGGCTGGGTGTGGGTAAAGCCTTCATAGTCATTCAAATTTGAAAAAAACAAAAAAAAAACATTCAGAATCGGGTTTTGACCAGGTTAGTGCACCACGAACATTGAAACGTTTCATGGTATGGGGGAGTCACAAAACATGTCCTGGTATGGGGGAGTCACAAAACATGTCCCGGTATGGGGGAGTCACAAAACATGTCCCGGTATGGGGGAGTCACAAAGCATGTCCCGGTATGGGGGTGTCACAAAACATGTCCCAGTATGGGGGAGTCACAAAACATGTCCCGGTATGAGGGAGTCGCATAACATGTCACAATATGAGGGAGTCGCATAACATTTCATAGTATGAGGGAGTCGCATAACATTTCACAGTATGAGGGAGTCACATAAAATGTGACAGTATGAGGGAATCGCATGTCACAGTATGACAGTGTTGCATAACGTGTCCCATTATGAGAGAGTTGCACAACATGTCACAGTATGAAGGAGTCCCTTAACATGTCACAGTATCAAGGAATCACATAAAATGTCACAATATGAGTTTCGCCCGGGATATAGAAAATCACGGAAGATTGCAATAAATAGTAACTGCTATTCTTACCGAAGTCTAAAATCGGAATGTTCTTCATCCAGTGGATGGCCATAAGCTTCTTTCTACCACCCCATCCCCCAAAATCGGCGAGCCACAGTGGAAGATACATAATAAAATAGTGAAACGACATCTTGTGGTGCCCTCGCTACCAGTTAAACGGGTGCCCTCGCTACCAGTTAAATGGGTGCACTCGCCACCAGTTAAACGGGTGCCCTCGCTACCAGTTAAATGGGTGCCCTCACTACCAGTTAAACCGGTGT